TATCAGTTCTCTCATTTTACTTTTATTATTTTTTCTTTCAAGTTGCATACAACACGTAATATACAATTTATCATTACATCGATAAACGAATCGCGTTATATACACTCTTTTTATATAATATAATTAAATAGAATTGAATGCAACGTATTTGTGCTCAAAAGATTTCGTTTTTTCATAAAAAAAATAAATAAAAAATGTCTTATTTCTTGAAAAAACCTCGTAATTCGGGTGTTTCACTTGTAGTCCCTGGATGATACCTCTAGACATCGATTTTCGACTCGATGAACATACGGTTTGAAAGTACATTGCTTGACCTATCTACCATAAAAATATCTTTTTGTTTCAAGATTTCTAAGTGCACTTTCAATTGCATACAAGTTATGCTATGAAAAGAACCAAATAATTGGGGTAGGTATTTCAACTTTTGCCCTTCAATGTTGAGTCCAATCGAAATAATTCTTTCAGATTCGGAAAGAGCATGGCGAATTACATCTGAAAAGACTATTTCAGATCAATAAAGACCATATTTGGTTGATCTGTGGGGCCAAAAATCAGAAAAATTAGGGGGTGGAACCTATTTTTATTTTTGATATAATTCGACAAGAAAGTGTACTCGTGAAATACAAATGACATAGTCTTAATCAGCACATCGTAATGCATAGGATTAGATAGTTTTTGTATTAAATTTCGAAAAAAACATTTTTTCATTTGGTCTCCAGAGACCCCACCAGGTGGTCAGGAACCGAAAAATGTTTTTTTTCGATTTTTATCATTCTGAAACACAGAAAGTACTCAAAATTTTATGCTGATTCCGAATATATATGTCTCCTTGCCTAGTTTTTTGGTCCGAAAACATGCCTTAATAGTACTCCTCCTTTCGATGAAGAAAGTTTCCAACTTCGTGGTGTTGTGTATGTGTGACAGGGCTGTTGTTTATCAAATGTTTTTTTTTCTTACTTTTGCAGAATAGCAATACTTGACATTTTTTACCTTTCTTCTTTCTTCCTCAAACTTTATAAAAGCGGTGCTCACCTCTTGCTTAATTGTTTTCTATTATTCAATCAAATTTGTTTGTTTCAAAACGAATAGAAACTTAGTGACAATTAGTTGTTTTACAACGACTTTTTTGTAGTTCTGTAACATCAACATTTATTTTTTCTTCTGCAACACGTTTTTTCGATTTGTAAAGACTGCACGTATTATTTTAGTTTTTGTGTTCTTCAAGATTTATATCGTGAAAAACACACTGAATTTATTTCAAAAAGGATGCAGATGTCGGTGTGGATGTGCTGAATGTGCTTGCTTCCCTTCACATCGAAACCTACACTAGCACACACTCACATCCTCTTCTTCTAATGGATATACAATAAAGGAAAGATAAATTAGCATACAATGAGAAGAGCTGATGCATATTTCATAGAATATAACGAACAAAAACTTCAGTTAACATTATTTTGTCAAGTGTGAGTGTAGGTATATGGGTGAGGAGGGCGTGGGTGTGTGAATGACTCTTCTTTTCACTACATTCACACCCACACCCACACCCACATATTTTTTTATGTCATGTTTCATTTTCGGGTTTACCATACAAAAGTTAATATATTTTTTTTGTAAAATTTCACGCAAAATCTTTTCATAAAAATTTGTTACCATCCATCACACATATTCAGTAACACTCTTCCGTTTTATGAGTAAAGTCAGGAAAATTTCTATTACGAATCGTAATGAATTCGGTTAGGACAGTGGCGACAAAAATGAATCGCACTATCGATGTATCATCATTTGAAGGTGAATCAACACAAAAACTCGCTTTGATATTTGAAATAGAATATTTGATAAAGTGGAGATTTTTACTAACAATATAAAGTTTGGCTTCAGATTATAGCCAAAAGTTTAGGCTATAGTTTGGCGAAAGAATTTTTTGAAGGAAACACTGATTTCTTTCAAATTTAGGTTTTACTGCTTTCCTATGAACTAATTTCAATTGGCGATTGGTGATTTGGTCCAATGGAAGAAATCTGTTTTTCAATTTATCCCAGATGAGATATGTCGCATACCATTATAGGTTCCCTATTTTTATATATTTTAATACAAGAGCAGCAAACACAGCAAGACGAAAATGCAAGATTCTGTATTCGTTTGTCTTTGATAATGTGGTCTTGTCACTATGTTTGATGCAAATGTGATATCATTTGATGCGTTAGGAGCTCCTTATCATTTGCGTTAGAAGTAATGGTTTGAAGAGCGGTCATATAAAGCATTGTCAACAACGTAACTGATAATAGAAAACATGGGACGAAAGTACGAATAGAACTTCTCATTAACAAACAAAACCTGAGGAATGTTTATTGTATTGCAAGGTTTTAGAGTGAAATGAACGAGAAATTAAGTGAGAGTAAACTTGCTCATTGTGCGATGTCACCAGTGAACTATGAATGCCTGGTTTGTGTACTTTGTCTTCATAGATAATAGGGTAAATATGCCTATGCAACGTTATCTATTACACAGCAACCAACGATATATTTATATATTAACACAGTTAGTAACATACACTAACCTATTTTCACTTGCAGATGAAGACGTTGATAGCATTTGTTATTTGCTCTACATTTTTCATCATTTGTTGTCATGGCTCGGCCGATGTGTACACTAATGATACGTACATTGTGGATAGTGCAGGTCGAGTTCGCATCTACCACGGTGCCAATTTCGTCATGAAAGAATTTCCCTGGTATCCAAGTGAATTACTCGACAAGGAATTTGTGGCCAATATGGAAAAATGGGGTTTGAATTTTGTTCGACTTGGGTACGTCCTACTTTGATTATTCAGGATTCTTGAACGTAGGTGTTATTTAGAATGATGTGGTCTGGCGTCGAACCGCTAGAACAAAAGTACAATCAAACCTATTTGGGTATCATGAAAAAAATCGTCGAACTATTGAAATCCCACAACATTTTTGTTCTACTCGACATGCACCAAGATGTATTGAGTAGTCGAGTTCAGTCATATGATGGCATACCAGCATGGTTATATGATAAGTTTCCAGCTCCAGCGCATGCATGTTAGTGATCATGCACAACTGATAGATTCTAATTACTTTGAATGTCTATTATTTTCTAGATCCTTGGCCATTGAACTCGGCACCACCAGTTGGAGATTGGTTCTTTGGGTAAGTAGGATGTATCTTATGAAAACATCTAACTAACGCTACTTCATTACAAGGTATATAACAGAAGCATGTTCGCATGGATTTCAATGTTTGTATGACAATGTGTCAGGTGCTGTAGAATCAATGAGCAAATTCTGGCGATTAGTGGCTAAAACGTTTGGAGGATATTCAAATGTGCTAGGGTAAGCATTTCATTGAATTGTTTCTCCAATCTAGAGTAAAAATGAGGACTTAACGATTCGAATAGATACGAGTTGATTAATGAACCTTGGGCTGGAAACTACATTGCCAACCCATTTTTGATATTGCCTGGTATCGCCGGTTCGACGAATTTGCAACCACTCTATGATAAATTAGCTAAAGCTATTCGATCAGTAGACGAAAAGACGTTGATTTTCTATGAACCAGTAACATGGGGAGGTCGGTAAAAATATGAAAGCCAACATTTGATTTCTATTTGTCATGCTGAATTGAAAATTATCTTTGTAGTTCGATTGAATGGTAAATACGTTGGTACAGGATTTACTCATGTACCAGGTGGTGACTCTTATCGTGACCGCAGTGTTTTGTCCTATCATTATTATTGCATTGTCTTGTCACTCGATCCCGTTCCAGGCAATGGTACCATACCTATTTTTGAACGTGTTCTCTGTGATGATATCGAAGGACCGGCTGTCTTTGAATCTGTTCGAGTAAGAATACAAGATGTGATAAGATTGATTCAACCAAAAAAATTAAAAAGAAATTTATTCTTGCTGAATTCATTGTGCATTAATGAAGATCAAATACTCAATGAAAAGTTCTGACTTCTGTCTCTGCATAGTAGTAGATGCTACAAAAACAACACTAGTGTGAGATGAGAGTAAATACTGTTATTGGAACATACGATGACTAAAGAAAAATGAGAAGCATCAAGAACCCGACATGATAGAAACATACATGCATTCCATGCACAAATAGACAAAGGCCATAGTTGACTGTGAATATTCTTGCTATATAAAAAAAATATTTAATTTCGGGAGAGTCCTTCTATTGATATAGAATTTCATTGATTATGTATGTTCCATATTTTAGCTTTATCAAGCACTGTGCTTTTAACTTTTTTACAGTAAAAATAGCCATTCTTTTTCTAGGTTGATCTCCTTCGGTTAGGTGGCTCAGCATTTCTGACTGAATTCGGTGGATGTGATGACTCACCCACATGCGACGAACAACTTCGGTGGGCTCTAGGTGCAGCGGATGAATTTTATCAATCGTGGGCCTACTGGGGGGCTGTTCGCGATCAAAAAACTACCATCGATCGGCTGGCACGAGTGTATGCTAGAGCTATCGCTGGCAAACCTATTCTCAACATGTATGTTCCTGAAAGACGATACTTCTACTTGACCTATTACATCGATACAACCATCAATGAACCTACAGAAATCTTTGTGCCCAATTTACATTTTCCAAAAGCAAGTTACAATGTAACTGTCAGTGATACACTGAAATGGAAAGTCGACCCGACAAATCCAAACATTCTTCTAGTAGAACCTAGTGATCAGCTGCTGCGAAATGGAGATGCGGTTATCATTGGTACTGTAGAAATCAATCCAAAAATGTGATGAACAAGGCTTTGCATAATTTAAAAGCACTCTATTTTTTTATGCAGAGTTTTTAGAATATGTGATGATTTTAATGAAACACGATTATGAATGAATATTGAAATTTATAGTGAGAAAAAGGTGTGGATGTGAGTGAATTCAAAAGAACTACATCTACATCCACACTCTATTTGACATATAGACAACAAATGTACTTGCACATGGTAATGCCTCAAACTGAATATCTTTAGCTGGATCGAATCGGCTATAATTTATTTCTGATGAATAAGAGGTTTCGCTACACATGTTATGCATTTTAGAAACAACCTCGAATATCTTTTCAACGAATGGCAACTGAATTTAAATCCTACTCTGCTGAGAGAATGAGAAGCCTCATGTAAAAAAAACATGTCTATCGTTTCTCAAAATCATGATAAGGGATTGATGATGATGGTGAGATGGTGTTTTATTAGTTATAATAAGATAGAAAAGAATATAACAAAGAAAGGTGAGAAAAAAGAAGAAAAGATATTAATAGTGAAAACCAACAATAACTGACAGGTTCGAGAATATTTCAGGAGAAAAACAAAGAAAAGGATGAAAAACAAACTAGTAACAACTGAAGAAAACTGCTAGTGGTAACACGATGATCTCTATTGACGTCAACATCTTCTCTCTTCGTCCGAGTGAGCTACCCCGGTTTTTCTGCATGCTAGAGCGTACGTCAGAACAACGACTATCTCAAGATCGCATAGGTACAACGACGCAAAAAATTGAAGATAAAAGAACAAACACAACAATAGCCAAAGACTTTATAAAAGTTAGCAATAACAATAGAATAGAAAAATATGACAATAAGAAAAAAAAATAAGAAAAATGAGTAAGGTCTATCAAAGCATCTCCGAAACTTTTTCTCGTTGAAAGTGCATGTTGATAACATCATTTCGGCATGTTCTAAATTAGATTCGAAGAATATGTTTTCTATAGTTTCAATAGATGAGCATATTTTATTTAATGCTATTGACATAGCTGTTTGAAATTTTTTAATATGCCATACATGTCAATCTTTCTTTTAACTATGTACTGTTGTTATTGAAGTTTTAATTTTGCATGACGCATTTTATTACGTCTATTGATTACTTCTCAAGATCGATGATTAATGTAATAGAACATGACTATTATTGACATCATTTATTTTCATAATTAGTGATGAACTTTAGATATGCAATTATGACGATTGAACGGACGATATATTTAACCACTACTTAAATGATTATCAGTCACGTGAAAATCTACGAATGTGAAATGCAAGATACTTTATAACAAGGAATAATGTTAATACTATATTACTATTTCTGTTATGATTCATATGATCATAATTTTTACGAATGAGATCAATTCTAAATTCGACTCGTTCAATTATTTGTGACGGATCAATGATACAAAATGAATTAGTAACGATCAGGGGCATCAGAGCTTTTGCTGATAATAAATAAGATGATATTGTCGATACAAGAATTCGTAATTGAATGACTAATGCTGGTACAATGTGATGTTATTATCAATGTATCAACATCTTTTACATTTATCAAACAAAGCATAAGTATTAAAAGAAGTTAGTTTTAATGAAAATAGATTCAGAATAGATTAGTTGTAGCAGACATGATTGAACAAACTCAACGAGCTTTGTGTACATTATCCAAGTGTGACATGTGTTCATGCATATACGTGTCTAGGTGATTGTGTTACTGTTTTAGTAAGAAATAGAAACTGTTAAATTTTTTTTCAACTTATAGTGTGAAATGCATTTCTGTGCATTTTCGTTACGTTTTTCATTAGTTAATCTATTTTTAATGTGAAAAAGAGAATTTCATCTAATCTATAAATCGATATAGTTTACAAACTTACTATTGAACATTTCAGAAAAAAAAATGCTTAAAAGGGTGTGTAAATAGTGTTTGACATCGGATCTTACACAAGAATTCCGCAAAGCCACGGTTTTTGTCAGTTTAATACCGCTTGTGGACAGTCTATGTTGACCAGGGATCTTAAAAATAAAGTATGTGTTCAATGTTCTATACTTCGTGCAAGCCATCATTTTTTTTTATTTTGACATGAAGAAACCTCTGTGGTTGTCATCCTGAACAGTATTATCTACATGACAGTTGAATTCTTCGTCTGTAAACCTATTTTTTATGATTGAGGAACAAAATGAACAATAATACGCTTGCAGATACTGCTCTTGATTCGTTTTAGTATGTATGAAAAGCGACAAGCTCTTCTTGGCATATCTCGCAAGAAAAGTGATTAGAATGTCGTTCTAGCTACACGAATCTAAGCAACATTTTATTTAAAAGATTCAATTCTGGAGTAGGTTTTGACTTAAAACCCTTTCATAATGAGAGCACCTGCTTGCAACAGGTCGCTTATACCGAAAAGATTTTTATATTTCTGATTGAGGACATTTTGTATGATAAAAAATACTTTCAAATAGAATGTTTTTGCTTCCATCTTGGCTCTCGATTACAAGAATGATGAAGTTTGACGAAAGTCCAACTACTTCACCGTACCTTTATATGATACCAACGACTTGGTTTTTGTATGGCATTGTTACTCAAATCATTGAGCTCTCAATCTGGTTCCTATCAAAAGGTTTTCTAAAAGTAACAACCTGCTTTTCATTTTGGAACGGATATGACATTGAGTTGAACCCATTTTAAAGATTTTTTTTCTTGAGAAAAACTGCCTTCTTGGGAAACCATGGGGACAAGTTACTATGAAATACAACGGTGTAGCATCGCAGATGAATTTTTTATTTTTGTCTAAAATGTGTTTGGTTGGATGTAGTTTTTGATATTGATTCCGAATGCTGTATTCATTTTGCTTGAAAATTGTGTCATAGCAAGGAAAATAGATAAAAATATTTTTTTTGGTTGTTTATTGAAAAACTATCGAAAACTATTATGTGAGAGAAATGTGCTTCCTGTTTCATCCCGAAGATACGATTTATTCTTGAACATTTTTTACCATTTTGTAGAAAATGAAAAGTTGCAGAACAAGTATAGAATTCAGCTTGAAACTCTCGAATTTCGAATCTGGATTGTAGATAAATAATTATCAAATAGACATTTGTAACTCATTGAAAGAATTATTTTTCATCCATGATAGCTCTCTGAAACTTCCGTCAACGGAAATTGTACTAAACTAAAATATCTTGTTTTGTTCAACTTTAATTTCTTTCTTATTTATTCTAATTGATAAAAAACACTTGAATGATTCATTGAAATAAAAACAAGCTACTTTTTCTCTCATAAAAATGTGATAGTGATGACAAGTAAGTATTGACTAGCTTTTCCAAGAAAGGGTATTGAACGCTGAAATTTTGGCATTCAAAGCATCAAACATTGATACTTTACATGCACGAAGAAAAGCCTTTTTTTATTAAGTATTTCGTATGCTCAAATTTTATTAGAGTTTAATAAAAATATTGTCTAGTTACTTGTGAATCATAGATATATTCGAAATCTCCTACGTTGAAATATCTTTATTCCTAGAATTAATGTAAATAATAACGGCTATATTCATCTCGACACTCAAAATATATCATGTTTGCTCATCCGTATAAATGGTTTGATTTTTTTTGGGCTTCATAATCCTGCAAAGTATGCATACATCCACATGTATTCAAGGTAATTTTTTTATTTTTCTATCTTTTCTTTATAAACATCATCACAAATCAATCGATACACACAACATGCGACTTGCATGTACACATACACACAAATAAACAAGCTTCAATGTTTGATTTTTTTTCTTCTAGAATTTTGTTTCGCTTATTATTCATTTGATAAATACTAACAATCATGGGTGGAAAACATACTCAACATACTCATCAAGTATCGAGTGGACTTACAGACGAACGTTTGTTTACTTTTTCTTTCAAAACATTCACAATAGAATGAATCAATGTTTATTTTAATTTTAGAAGTTGCTTCACTCAAAGCAAATACCAACTATACAGAAAAAGGTACGCATATTTATAATCCTTTTGCTAAATAATTCAAATATTTCATGCTTGTTTGTTTTTTCTTTAATATAGAAATTCGAGAATGGCATGCGGTTTGTTACAACGAATCAAATATTAATTTACATCTGTGAGTTTTCCGTACATTGTAGGGCTTTATTCGTGATTGTCCAGCAGGCAAACTTGACAAAAAAAAATTTATTGAAGTTTTCAAACAATTCTACCCACAAGGCAAACCCGACAAGTTTTGCAAGTAGAAGCAATTACGATTTTGAAGATTTTTTTAGCTCATATGTATCTGTTGTCCTTTTGCATTTGTAGGCTTACTTTTGATGCATTCGATATCAATAAGGATGGTACAGTAAGCTTTGATGAATTTCTTATAGCCTATTCAGCTGCAAGAAATGGTAACCTTGATGATCGTCTTGATCTTGTTTTTCGTGTGTAGGCATATCAAAAAATATTACTTTTTAATCTATGATCTCTCTAATATGTAGATATGATATTTCGGATGATGGATTTATTGATGAAGAAGAATTAACAAAATTGATTGTTGCTTTGGTAAACTTTTGATTATATTCTTCTAATAAAATGATCTTTGTTCTTTGTTTTTTTCAGTATGATCTTGTTGGTAAAACTAATCGTAAAGGTGATCATGATCCAAAAAGGCGTGCTGCACAGATTATGGCAAAACTGGATGCTAATGGTGATAAAAAATTAACGAAAGCAGAATTCGTTAGCGGGTATATTTTACTTAATTATATACATTTATGTTACGATCTATGGGTTTTTTTTTCATTAGATGTAAAGCTGATCCATTTCTTCGACGATTACTTGATCCGAACAGCTAAATATCGAATATATAATCTTCTACAAATACATTTCATTCTCTAAGAAATAAAACAATTTTTTAAATTTTTTTATTAATCAAAAACAAACATAGATAGCATCCTAACACATTTGTATACGTCATATTATGACAAAGAACAAATGTGTATAAAAGATTAAGACAAAGTAAATTTTCATGACTGAATTAAAACATTGGTATAATTACTAATATGTGTCTCCAAATCAAACACAGTTTCTCATGTTTCGAATCACTTTTTGATAGGAACAAGATAGAGAACTGCTGCTTTCACCATTCCAAAGAGCAGGATACAGGCCACAATGCCATATAAAAACCAGAAGATTGATACCATATAAATGTGCAGTTAATTAATTGTACTTTCCTCAAACTTCATCATTCAAGTGATGTCCATAGTTTATTTGTTGTTCAGGAATGAGTTCAAACGTTGAATATATACAGAAGAATAGTGTTTTTAGATCAGTCAACCAAATGAGTCTCCAACTTCAAATAATAAGTCTTATCGAAGCTGAAATTCTTACGAAAAAGTGGTTTTTTTTTCTGTTGATCACTCTATTTTGAAAGTAGAAATAACCAACAGTTTTTTTAATCAATCATGTTAGATAGGAATAGGTTATACACGATCATGGCATATGTGCTAATGTTTATTTGAGGCACATGATTGCGAGAAAAAGTAGTCAGTTTGAGAGACAAGCAAAACTACAACGAAAGCTAGCTGAGAGGTTGAAAAGTTTCGGAAATAACGTTATTATTGAGTTAATCGCAGCAAAAGAAAACTGTTCTGTAGTGGCACCTATCCTAAGTTCTCCAAACAAGAAACGAGAACGTATTAGAGTGTGATGCTATTGCTTCCAGAAAGTTGGTTCTCTGTCCAAATGATACATGATAGAAACCTGAGGGTTTTTGTGGTTTTATAGAACATGACCTAGACGATTGAACCCATTTCTCAACAACAAATACATTTTTGGAAAGTAGGAGAATGACGAAGCTTGAGAAAAGTTCAATTAATAACCGTACATTCATATAATATCAATCCCTTAATTTTTTACAAGACACTGTTGCTCACATTCTACTGTTTCGAATTGTGAAAATCGCAGCTGTTTATCTTATTCTGATCAAAAGTTATTGAAAAAAAGAGGCAAACTGCCTCTCAATTTGAAATCGATATCAATTATTTTTAAAAAATGATGTCAGATATGAAATCTATAAATTTTTAGGTTGATTTATATAGTTGTAAGATTATGATCAAGAATAAAAGTAATAGAAGAGAAATCATTTCGATGGCACAAAATTTTGTAACATAAATAAAATACCACATGATTCTGTTAATTTAAAGTCGTATATGATAGTTGAATGAATAACACTTTATTAAATAAGGTTAAAAGAAGTAGAATAAATCATGAAGTGTCTACTTAGTTTCACTATCATCTGTAATTGGTTTTGGCATATTTAATTGTTGATAGCTTGAAAAAAACCAAAGAACAATATTTAATACCTAGGCGTAACACTATAAGCAAGATCTTAAGTGAGAATTTCTTGATGTTTTCGGAGAAGGTCAATGACATAAAATATTTTATCGTCACTGGTCAGCTATAACGTTCAATTTTTCTTCCAAAACTATGCACGATGTAGAGAATCCCAACCTAGCTTCCATGATTTTTATTCTTTGGATACTCATGTCAACAATTTAAATGATAGGATATTAGACGGCATTTTCTTTTGTAAGAACAATAAAGTAAGTAAAAGAATACAATATTGAGTTTTGCTAAATCGATCTATAAAATTTTTCACTAACAAAAAAAGAAAAACACTATATTTCACTGGTGCAGAGTCTTGTTGAAATGTAATCAATCATTCTTTCACGATTGTCACAATTCATTTTTCTCCATTCACTGTTCAATCTACTGTTTAACTGTCTTAAACTAGGTTGTGGTTGCTGATGTAAGGGTGTCGATATGAATATTAGGTGAGGTGTTGATGTAGGAAAGGGTGTAGCATGAGTGTAGGGTTACTAAAGAATACATACACGCACACCCACATTGTGAGCTCAATTTTTTATCTGCACGATATTGCGACCAAATATTTTCATTCATTAAAAGCATCCGATTTGATTCAAGAAATATTTAAAAAGCATAGAAAACTATTAAGGATAATTTATTTATAGAAATACAATGGAGTTTTGTAATCAAATCATGTTCCGATATTACATATTGATTGGGATTTGATGATAGGATGGGAGATTTATATTTTACTTATAGGTCAGCGTCACAGTCAAAAGTATTTACATTTTTGACAAATGCTTCCTTGATGTCTAGAATGCCTCACTGCTAATCGATCTAATGAGATAGTTCATTTATTGATACAGAAATATGGCTTTAAATAAATAGCCGTAGAATCAGTTCAGCGAATCAATGATAATGATAAGACTTTATTGACATGTATCGATCCCGATGGTAAACATGATGAAAGTATGAATATGGAGGTTGTTCTGATCTTCATCCATACTCATGTACCACAACCTCCATGATGATGAGTGAAAAATGATTTGCAAAGTTTTAGACAATTTGAAAATATTATTTTAAGATAGTGTATATTGATACACAGGGTATGAGCGTGGGTTTGGTCCAAGAGCAGATCCATATTTACTCACATCCACATCCACATCATTAATTGTGAACATACAGATTCAATAGAATAGAAAACTGCATGATTTTTAACGTGATTAATATTTATAGATGTACAATAATTTTTTGTTGAAGTTTATTGAAAAACGTTTTTTGTAGTTGAAACATAAAACAAAAAAATTCTCAAACATCCACATGATGATACTGTTGATAAGCTTTATTATTATTCAGTCGAAGAAGATAACCAAGTTGTCGTCCAGGACCACATTCAAATGTATTTGGATAAGATTCATGTTTTGATCGTTGATACATTTTATGAATAGATTGTTCCCACAATACACTTTTTGTCAATTGTTGACTAAGTGATCGTTTAATAGCTGTAATATCATTTGAATGACGTTTACCAGTTACATTTGACATGACTTGAATAAGTGGTGGTTGCATATCAATTTTGTCTAATGCTTTAATCAATTTTAATTTCGCTGATGCCATCAATGGTGTATGAAAAGCACCACTTACAGGTAAATATTTTATTCGACGAATTCCAAATACTTTATAATTATGTGCAATGAATTGTAACGCCTAATTTTAATATATTTATTATAAAAATCAAAAAACAAACATAGAAAGACAAACCTCTTTATGTCCAGCAAGTACTTTACATTCAGCATACATATGATTAGCTATTTGTATACAAGGTACATCGATTTTCATATATTTATTGCACCATTCTCGTGCCGCTTCTATAGCTAATGTTAATTTTGTTTCACGACCAACAAAGACAGACATCATTCCACTATTTACTTCATTTGATGCTGATTGCATTGCTTCGGCACGAGTCTTAATTAAACGAAGACCATCTTCAAAAGTCATACAACCAGCAAAGACAAGTGCTGTTATTTCACCAATACTAAAACCAGCTGTTACTACACAATTTTCTACTGCCTAAATAAAAACAAATTATAAATATGAAAATATTGACACTTGTTCTTTAATCGCACAGTATTATTTTGTTAAATAGAATTCAACTTCATTAATATTTTTAAAGATTATCTCTCTCTCTCTTTCATCTAATTTTATCGTCTATCTTTTAACTTTTGATGTTATCATCAGTCAATATACAAAAATCATCCTTTTATTTACAGCAAAATATAGATAATAATGGTATCATTACTTACTTTTTGATTTTCACTTTTTAATTTTTGTACAGCAGCTAATGATGTGACATAAATAGCAGGTTGAGCATAAAGAGTTTGATTGAGTTCTTCAATAGGTCCATTAATACATTTAGAATAAAGATCATAACCAAGTATTCGATGAGCAATATTAAACATTTCTTTAACATTTGGATAATTAATTACTTGTTGTCTAAATAAATATTTTCATTATTTTAATATAAACAATTGATAATTAAACTTACCCCATACCAACAAATTGTGTACCTTGACCAGGAAAAAGAATAATACTTGTTGTACTTGGATCAATGAATGGTTGTGATAATTTTTGTTCATTACTTTCATTTTCATATTCTTCATGATTTAGATTATCTTCATCTACAAATGAACTACGTTCATCTTCAATTGGCTTGGATTCTTGTTCAAGTCGTTGTAATTCTAGACGAGCAAATTGCTCTTGTATAGATATTTGATTATTATCATCATCTACTGATATATTTTGATCTAAATTTGTAAATGATGATGGTGATATTTGTGGACGTTCAACAGAACGACGAATACCACGTGCCAAAAGATATGTTGATCGACGTAGAAATCGAACTTGTTGAGATAATAAACGACATTGAGAACAAAGTTTTAATGAATATCGAAAAAATGCCATTCTGGAAGGAAAAAACTATAAAAACAGATTTTTTTTTTAAATTTACTGAACACATGTATTGCTAATATTTTGTTTTTAATTGCAATCAAAAGAACAATCATGTGGATCTCTCTTCTTTTGAATAGCTAGTAGACACAAAATTAATATTATTTTTATTGAAGCGGAAGTATACTGAACGATGTTGTATGACAAAACAAAAAACAAGGAAAATATATATATATATTGTACATCTGACAATATCGAACAAATATAAACAAGTTCAAAAATCTTCAATTTTAATATGAACAAATATTGTTCCTTGAATATAATCTCCATCTTTAGCTTTCAATTTAATATGTCGATAACCAAGTTGAAGTGCTGTAAATGGTACACAAGCTTGTCCAAGAAATGTTGAAGGACCATATCGATCTTTATCACGTACTTGAAATAGAATAAGACATAATTCTGGACAAAAAATATCTAAATTTATTTTATAATCCCATATTGGATTAAGACCATTATTACGAACTGATGGTGTATTATGTTC